CGAGCACAAGAGCTTTGAACAATTCTAGTTGTCACGTGACGTGAGGCGAGCGTGTACCCTGGGAAAGAACGCGGTCAGCGCGTCACGTGATGTGTTGTCAGCCTGCGGAAATCCGCAGATTCAGGCAGAGCTAAGAGGCCACAGAGAAACATCAGAATCACACCTGCGGAAATCCGCAGGTTTTTTATTCGACAAAATTACTCTGGGTAAGTACATATTTTCCGACGCCTGAACTCGGCGGGTATTCTACGCTGACACACCCCACGGATTTTCGCAGTCATAGGTTTGGATGTGTAGGTCAATCTTTCATTTGGCAAGCCTGACTGAACGAAGATATCAGGCGGCTGGTCCGCTCGTTATGGGAATATACGCCACCTGCAATATCTAGACAATCACACTTTCAGCTCAAAGGAAACTCAACGTGAAAACGATGCACTGCACACCTTATGAGCTCACAACTCGAGCACGTCTTCAGTTGATTTCCAAGCTTGGGCTTCCGCCAACATACGGCACATAAACCCGCTAATAGATACTCTCCCGAAGGGTGCTATGGAGTTGGATTGATAGGCGGCGGCGGAGTCAAACCAGTCTTCTCTGCGACTTCTGTTTCCATCTCCAGGATTCTTCGGATGCAGGCGTTGTCCGCAACACGGCAGACGTAGTGGGCCTACGCAGGATATACGGCGTTGGGAATCGAGGAGATAGCTATATTCTGCGGCGTACATAGATGTTAACAAGTGGTTGGGGGCGCTGTTAGAGCCAGCATGAAGTGCTGTAAGGGATTTCTCGCGCGGGAAGACCTATGGGAGTGTAAGCCACGACAGCTGCGCCGATCAACGGTACGTACCACAAATTTGGCAAAGCCAATTCTTGGTATGCTTAAAATCCGGAAGTATACCCTTTGCAACCTGCTACACCATGACAGAAGTTCCTGGGTGTTCCCGTGGATTTCAGGATGGGGGCGCGAGCGTTGAACGGGGCCTTGGAGCGATTTCTACGGATGCAAGGACGAGGAATCAGCGCAAATATCAATGAGAAATACTGTATTAACACATACCTGCTATTGCTAATGATCTCAAAGTCCATCTCCGTCATTTTGAGAGCGCGACACCGTGGCTTGAGGGTGGTGTTGCCGTGGGTTTGGCGCGGGTCGCTTACTCTGCGCACCACGCGCGCCATTGGGCAACGGTTTGTTGGTGAGAGTCGGCCCTGCGCCGCGTCGACGATCATCGACGCCAAAGGTATTAAGTTCAAGTTTACTTAGATGAGTTTTCAGGAGTTCACAGTCGATCGTTACCACTCGGCATCTCGGCTGATGCGATTCGCGAGATCTGACAGCGTGGCGGCCAACACGAGCTATATTATTAGATGGTATCTTTCCAGTTCCTTCAAATCCTCCAAAAGCCGCACCCAACGAAAGGTGCTATCTCCATAACTAAACAGTAAATAACATGTAAATAGCAGCAGTACCAATCAGAGCCAGACTGTCTCAACATGACATAGGGCGAGGGCGTAGGTATCCTTCATATTGCATCAAGTATCTCATTGCCTTCTTTTCCTGAAGTGAGCCGTATTATTGTCTATTAACGCTGCTACTAGTTCTATATTACCTAGAGAACTAGATTAGGTAGTGATGTGTGATGTATGTATATGTTTGCGAGTATGAATACCAGTGTAGGAGAAGAATTTCTGGATTTGCGCTCTCAACTCGTTTCACACCCTTTATATCCAGTTGAATCATTTGTTGATTAATTGGAATGTCTCCAAGAGAGCAATGATTGAGTTATGATATTTGGTGTGGAGGTGTAGGGAGGTTGTTTTCGCTTTGGTGTGCTAATAGGATATATATAGTTGTAGGGAGATCTCAGTTGTTATATCACGTTGGTATTGGGTAGTTATATGCATATGGCTGTTTATAGCTAGCTGAGAGAATAAAGCATGTTGCTTTGCCAACTGAATGCTGTGATGTCAACAAATAAACAGTCAACGTGAAATCACCTAGGGAGTATGCGGGAGCTCTGGTCTTGGAGAACTGTGAACAAGATATTGAAGGACCTCAAGCGGCTGCTTATTCATATTTACTTTCCTCATAGTTGCAGCTGTGATTCTCTCTTTCAAAAAAAAAAAAGGAAGCTTCGTGATTTCTGCTAGTTTTCTCTGATAAATGCTTACTCAGTGAACTGCATATATGTATGATTTATCTCAATGGTCAATTAGATGTATGGCACATGTACCGTTCAAGCTTCGTACTTAAGCTACCTCAAAGAGTGCTATATGTTACTAGGTACTATCACTTATTCCACATACAAGTTCATTATACTAATAAGCTAATGTGTATACTAGTATGCGATTTAATCCTTACGAATGGATCCTGAGTTAAATACTACATATCTACGGTTGAGAAGCTCATGTGCTACAGTATGGCAGCTCAGTTTAATTTTTTTTTTTTTTCATATCTATTATGCTAGACTTTAACCATTTGACTTGCTCTACGCATTCTCTTCCTTCGAGTTCTATGTCTATTCTTAGGCAGGTTTACAAGGACGGGTTCCGTATATCATCATTCGGTACCCTGTTGTCAGAACGCCCCCTGCAACGCTGGTCAAGTACGTACCCGGTATGATTTATAGGTTCATTTGAGAACTACAATGATGAGAAATGAAGTTTGGCGTCACTGTGCAAGTACTTGATCTAGATATCTTCAGAGACTATGTCTGCGTGCGTAAACCAGTCAACTCATATTTAAGAATCCCAAACATTTATTATATTTTCTAAAATCCGGCTCTACTTACATACTTAGTGGCTACGCTGTATAGTTGCACCTCATTCTCAAAAATCCAATTTAGTTTAACTTACAATTTTATCTGTGGAATGACTATCCTGTCAGGAAGAGACCTCGAGACAATATGTGCAATAACCGGGATAAATATAGCTGGCGCCAGATTTGATGACATTTGATGCGAGCTCGGCAATCGGAATGGTAACGATCGACTGTACACTCAGTTGAGAGTTGAGAGTTGAGAGTTGAGTTTTGAGTTTTGAGTTTTGAGTTTTCAGGGGGTGCAACATGTGAATAGAGCAGTAGGGGGTCAGCATGACAACCAGAGCTCTAAATATAGCATCTCTCACTCGTAAATACCGGAATGGTAAGCAATAAGACTGCTACACACTCCAAAATACCTCTATTTAATTTCTACTGTACTATATAGACTTTCTACAAACTATCAAATACCTTTTTAACTCTCCTTTCCTACAGCATAATGAACAAGTCAATAATATCTGTTCGCACGAACGGCGTGGCAGCGCATGCCGGCTTTCAAGCCACGCCCCGCCACGCCGAAAATTCGGTGCCGAGTAGCGTCATTCCAATTGGCGCGGCGCGAAGCGGCTTTGGGGCGGTGTGACGCCCTTGCCATCCCACACATCAACGACAAAGTCTTTTATGAAGTGGGGTACGACCATCCTTTGACGAACACGAGCCGCATCCGGAGCCTGTCAAGGATTCTCTTTCCGAGGTGACACGACAGGAGCAAGACGCGTTCAAAGCGACCCCTCGCGCTTGGTCTATGGTTATTGTCGACGATGGATCCGAAGATCGTATCATGTAATTTGGCAACTGCATTCGTTATTCGAAGGCATCACCGATCGAACTGTACATCCGCCTGGGGGATTACGTGCCGGAGCGCGACATAAGAGTGCTCGTATATGATTTCCGGAGCTGTGTGCATTTCATCACAAGATTAATCATTATTAGGCATCATCCCGCCTACGCGTTCGCCCTGCAACGTCTCCTCGACATACTCAGGGATAATAGGCCTTGTCCAGCCCTTCGAGTGTTGGCGACTATGGCCCTAAATCCTTTGCCTACAAATATAATGCTAGATCACACCCCACTTCCCAACCTTGAACGTTTGAAGCTTGACTGGCCAGGGTTATCATTCCTCTTCGCCAAATCAAAAAGGTTCATTCTTTTCCTATCCTAGTCCATGAAGTGCTCCCACTCCGGCGCAATTACAGATTTTGGACAAACTTCCCAACATGGAACGATTGCAACTGCTGCTACAAATCTCCCTGATACCCATTGGAGTCTTTAGGCGTTCGCCCGGTGCCTCCCTCAATCCCTCTGTTTGAGGGTAGCAAATTCAAGGATCACAGCACAATTCAAATTTTCCTTTCCATCTCAGCGTCGGTTTACCAATCAGCATGCTACCCATACTAGATCCGCTTATCAGCCGCCCACCTTCTCGTTCAACGAGATCTTTGACGCACTTGATAGGATTCGAGCAAGAGGGATAAATTATATCGCATTTCACGGTTTCCAAAGCTTAGACACATTTTTTTGGGGGACCTCACGCTAAATTTGGCCGTCCGGACGTGCCTGGACAACTTTACGCCCTTTACTGATGCGACACTGAAGGAGACAGAGAAAAGAGCTCTATTATCACTTGGAGAAAGACATCCAAGTATTATTAGGCTTTTAATTAACTCGTTATTGTTCATATTTCCAGGGGGCACGCGTCATACACAGTTAATCTTTCTTCGATCTACTGTCGACGTACTTCAGGGACATCCACTGCATGAGCGTAAGTCTTTCGTTTCGTTCCATCTAACTTCTGATCTTGATTAGCATGCCTCCACAGATCGACGAGGTATCTACGACATTTAATCAGTCTCTCCTTGGATGATTTACGCTATCTGCTAGAAGACCGAGCGAAAGGGGATTCAGTCGAAGAAGGACAACTCCAGATTGTGGAAGTGAAAGTAGGGTGCGTTGCGTCGGAATCAGTGTGGAGTGCGTTACTATCGTTACAGAGGAAGTATCCTCACATTATTTACCTGTGAATTTTGCAATATAATGAGCCGCACAGTCGCGCCTGTAAATTAGCCTATGTGTCATAATGTGACTATCTGAGTCGCCTTATCATTAATTATCCGGACTCTATGGACCCTCAAAGACCAAATAAAAACGATGGGATTTCTCACAAATTCGAACCAGGCGGTGCTTCCTACCCGGCTCGAACTGGCAGCCTTTGGATTGCAAGCAACTCCGCCCTCACAGAAAGCTGTGAGACCAACGCTCTACCAACTGAGTCAAGGAAATACATGTTTCAGTAAAACACTGCACACAATGAGAGATTTCTGTCAACAGAAAAATTTCAGGAAATTTTAATAGTACTCTCACTTTCAATACAGTTTCTGTCAACAAAAACCATACAGGAACCTCAGATCCTTGCAGAGTATCTGTAGAGTTTCTATAATGTTTCCATTCCTAGGAACATTAAAGGTGTTTGAGAGAATCAGAGCAGAAACCTTACCAGATTCCATTGTTCCAACAAAATATCATTCACACTTCCATTGAGTTTCCAATCAAGGGAGTGTTGTACAAATTGATAAATAAATTGAGCAGGAATTCAGAATCTTTACAAGGTTTCTGCCTATTGTCCATCAAATTTCTGATTGGGGAAACATTATGCAAAACAGGACAGAAAATGAGCAGAAATCTGGAAACTTTGTAGGATTTCCTTAAGATTTTCTGGCCCAACAACTGTGAAAAAAGGACCTTTAAACTCAAATGAAGTATTGAAGAAACATACAGTACCATCATGGTTTCTGTGAATATGTGAATTTAAGTAGATATGTGGATATGTGGATATGCGGATATGCAGATATGCAGATTTAAGTGGATATGCGAATATGCGGATTTAAGTGGATATGTGGATATGTGGATATGTGGATATGTGGATATGTGGATATGCGGATTCAAGTGGATATGAGGATATGTGGATTTAAGTGGATATGTGGATATGTGGATTTAAGTGGATATGTGGATATGTGGATATGTGGATATGTGGATATGCGGATATGTGGATATGGGGAAGACAGATGCACTCTCCCGCTGGGAAGATCATGGCTTGGGCAATTCAGACAACAGGGACATCACACTACTCCGTCTGGAAATTTTCAGCATTAGGGCGTTGGAAGGGATTACTGTGGTAGGAGAAGAGCGAGAGGTGCTGTGGGATATCAGGAGAGGGATGAAGGATGTGGAATTGGAAGTGGCAGTGGCAAAGGTGGTGGAAGAGTTGAAGAAGAGTAATGTCAAGTTTGTATAGGCAGTGGAGTGGTCAGAATCAGACGGATTATTGCTGTTCAGAGGAAAGGTCTACGTTCCACCTGATCCCGAGTTGTGTTGACAAATCATTTTCCAACACCATGATTTTAGGATTGGGGGTCACCCGAGACAACGGAAGACACCGGAGTTAATTATGCGAAGTTATTGGTGGCCACAAATGTCAAGATATGTCGGCCAGTATGTCAAGACTTGCGATCTATGCCTCCACACAAAGATCCAAAGGCAGGCCCCGGCCGAAGAACTCAAGCCTCTACCTGTACCAGAGGCTAGGTGGGATACAGTCAGTGTAGACTTCATCATGGAGCTTCCGGACACACATGGTGCAGACACAATCATGAATGTGGTTGACTCTGTGAGTAAACATGCTCATTTTATCACGATGAACACCACTATCACTGCACTTGGAGCCACGCAGCTTTACCTCAACCACATCTGGAAGCTACATGGTCTACCCAAGCAAGTCGTTTCTGACCGAGGTCCTCAGTTCGTCGCCGAGTTCACTAGGGAGCTGTACTGGATGCTAGGCATCAAGCTCGCAGGGACCACAGCCTACCACCTGCAAGTGGACAGACAGACCGGAAGCTGAGCGGACGTCAGCAACCCTTGAAGCCATGTGGACATCACACAGAGCTAGCAGAGGGGAAATCCAAAGAGAAAGTCTTGAATTGTCTCTGCCAGAGTGAGCCCACTAAATACTGTCCGGAATCAGTAACCATCGATGCCAAGGGAATATACAACAATGAATATAATGAAGTTGGAAACAATAGAGGCAGAAGCTAACAGATGATAAATGAAAACAATGGAACGAAAACAAACGGAAAAACAATGAAAGATACCCAGTGGTCAACTGGTGCTAACTGCCCACCATCAACACACTACCCGCATGGCACCCAGTGCCTCCAACCCCGCCTCCCACTCTCTGGCCACAGAAGTCAGTGAACATGTTGCTGGGGAATCCCATGTGGAAGAACTCCCTGGGAGTTGTTGACTTTGGGGATAATTCTGGGTGGAAAGGTTCTGAGCAGAAGTCTAAGGTTGTCCCCTGACAGTTAGGTTGGAGGCAGTGGGCTCCACACGGGTAGCCGTAGTGCATTGGTGGGAGGTGGTTAGCGCTGGGTCAGCCGCCAGGTATTTTTTTATTATCCTTCAATTCCCTTCCGTTCCATTGTTTCGTTTGTTCATTGTATTTTCCTATTGTGTATTCCCTTAGCATTGATGGTTCCTGTTTCTGAACAGTATTTATTGGGCTCACACTGGCAAATGCAATCCAAGACTTTCTCTTTGGATTTCCCCTCTGCTAAGTGAGATTCCCTCTGTGTGTATTTATTATTCATTTATATATCTTTGGATTTCCCCTCTGCTAGCTCTATGTGACATCACTCAGCTCTGAGGGTTTCCCTTACAAGATCAAGAATAAGATCTCTGCAACTATCAAAGATAAGTTGTGATTGGATGCAGACAGTGTAACTACTGTCTTGCATACAATATCATCACTGAAGGACAATGCCCAGTACTGGGGCGACCTTAGTAATAAGGCTGCAAGGTATAGTTGCAGAGCCCTTGAGTTACAACTCAAGATGGCTGAAGAGAAGGTCAATAACCTTCTACAAAATGAAGCACCTGATGAGGTGCTTCTGTAGGGTGTTCGGGAAGCACATAATATACACTTCCAATTAGACCAGAGTATGTGACTATGTGAAGCTGGTTTAATGCCTGAACAACAAGTAAGGTTCGGTGTGAATCCTGGAAGGGAAAATAATAGCCCATCCAGAACATATGGGGTAAATCCCATGAATGAGGTGCATACACCTCAGCCTAAGGCTGATGCTGTAAGGGCAACCCTCGAAGCCGAGTGGACGTCACACAAAGCTAGCAGAGGGGAAATCCAAAGATACATAAATGAACGAAATATATACATGTGATGGGAATCTCACCTAGCAGGGGGAAATCCAAAGAGAAAGACTTGGATTGCCTCTGCCAGAGTGAGCCCACTATATACTGTCCGGAAATGGGAATGTAAACCCCGAAAGGAAAATAAACAATGGTCTGATGAAATCAGAAACAATAAGAAAGGGGAGCAAACCAATGAAAAGGAACACAAAGGAAGCGGAAGTGAATGGAGAAACAATGAAACGATCTGATGGCCGACCGGTGCTAAACAACCCATCACTCATGCGCTATGACTACATGTGCATATACCCTCCACCAGATGACCACTGTCTCCAACCAAACCTTCCACTCTCCGGCCACAGGAGTCGACGAATGTGCTGAGGGTGAATCCCACACGGAAATGCTCCCAGAGGGTGCTTGATGCGAGGGGTAGTTCCGGATGGAAATATTCCGGGCGGAATTCTAAGAGCGTCCCCTGACAGATGCACCTTTCAGATGACAAGGCACTCTGGCCTTGTCTATCTCTGCACAATTAAATGGTGCAGTAGCTGATGTGACTTCTGAATACAGCAGTATTCAGCAGATGGTGAGGCAGGCAGTTGAGAGGGGCATCCTCCCACTTACAGCGGTGAGCAGAACCTCGAGAAATTTGAGACCTGGGTTGCAAGTGTACTTCAATCCATGTCAATGTACAACCTGCTCGGACCTTGAGAAGGTAAAGTCCAACTTCAATTCTTGGTTCAGTGTCCAACTGATGATGCTCGAGAATGGTTCTACTGGCAGGATTACACATTGTGTTGTTACTTTGTGGACAATATAAGATACATATTATCCCACAACTTTGTAAACCCTAATGTTTTGTAAACTTAAATGTATTTAACAGGGTTTTCGAGTGTTTAAAATTCGTTAGAGACTCAATATTATCAAATGGTTTTCGTGTTTACAAAACCAAAACCAAGTCATGCTAGCTGTGGGTTATTATACAATTTCTTTTTCTTCACATTGGAATGGGAAACTTGGGACAATCTAACCCACAGTCAGGTCTGTCATCCTCTCCGCATCTGGATATCCGTGAGTGGAGTTGATGTCAGGTATTGATCCGAACAACCATTTTATTATTTGACTTTTATTTTATATTTCGACTTATGCTGCATATATGTGCATATACTCTGTTTCTGCGCAGCTTCTTTCCCGTGCGGCTTTCACGTTTATTATCTAATCTTGCTTTCCGTTGTTATTTTCTTATCTTGTCTCATATCTTTTATCTTGATTTTCATCTTCGTTCCATGTGCTAGTGATTACTATTGATTTCAGCCGATGTTTTCAACATTCCAACTTTATGTTGTTTTTCTCACCGGCTTCGCTCGGTATGTTATCACACCAATTATATTCTTATGATTTAGTCTTCGATCTTATGTTTTTCCTTTTATTTCTCCGATGTCTGACTCGTATAAATACGCTCATTTGTATCTACTTTCTTCAGTCAGAAATTGAATATCGAATCTCGTATTCAT